TTCCACTGATTTACAAGCTACTCCCACTCCTCCCTTCTTTTTGGAGCTTTGTTCACTTGCCGTGGTATTCATCTACACTTTGAGTTGAGTGAGATTTTATTAGCACAATGTGTCCACAAAACACAGGTGCAAGCAGAAGTTTATAGAGATGATTATAGGTCTGGACTAGAGAGGTGTAGAGATATCTACACCTGCAACCCTCCAGCAGTGCTCAGCCTGGCTGAGTGAAACTGACTCCTGCTTCTGTTGATATTGCTGCCCACAACAACCCAGGAAGAAAGGGCCTTAGTCCTCATGTCAAATTCAGGAATATGTAGCATGCATATCCAATCACCAACTGGGAAACTCAACTGGTTAGTTAAGTCTCCTCTTATATCTGGCCACTCCTTGGCAGACACCAGCTTTGAGGCTCCCATTCAGGTCTCTAGCTTAAGGGCTCCTCCAGTTATTAAGGCAAAAGTTCCTGTGGAAATGATTGCAACAGAGTTCAGTTTTCCCAAGTGACTGTGGAGATAGAGGTAATTGATTGGGTGTGCAAAACAGATCCTATTTGATTCGGATTCGGCTTGAATCAGGGGCCGTGATTCGATTAATTGATTCAGATCACTGTCCCCAGTTCGATTTGGCTGAATCCGAATCCGAAAATGCGATACTGATTTGGAGAATCAGCGATTCAGACATAGACACAGCTTTAAATGTTTTTTCCACATACCTCAAGGTACCAGGCAGCTTGTGAATGCTGTGATGCTGGGGTGGATGGAGTGTCCCATGGGAGCATAGGGGGAGGGAGGGGCCGCGTGCTAGGTGGCTTACCGGGAAGTGGACCAGAACTACTTCTGGTCCACTTCTGGGTCTACAGGGGAGCATGCTGCCCCCCCCCCCCAGCTCCTCCCCAGCTAAGTGATCAGCCATGGGGGGACCCCAGGTGGCCCCCCAGACCCTGGAGGCACCACTTGCTGAGCTGGGGGGGCACAGGGGGGCCCCCTGGTGTGCTCTCTGGCAGACCCAGAAGTGGACCAGAAGTGCTTCAGGTCCGCTTCTGAGTTTGCTGCTGAGCATGCTGGGGAGCCCCCCTGCGCTTCTGTGGGAAACTCTGTGTACCCCAGAATTGCAGCACTCATGAGCCCCTGCTACCTAGAGGTATGTAGAAAAAAATATTTAAAGCTGTGTCTATGTCCAAATTGCTGAATCTTTCCAAATCTCTCAATCGATTCGGAGAGATAAAGGGTCCTCTGATTCAATTTGGATTCGGAGATTCAGCCACCGAGCTGGGCCGAATCTCCACCAAATCAAATCAGGGACTGAAGCTTTGCACAGCCCTAGCAATTGAAAACTAATGCTAAATTATCTGAGACAATCGTTTTGAGTAGGAGAATGCTGCTGCTTTGTATGACCCTGAACTATATGAAGCCGGCTGTATTTGCCAGCTTTGAAAGCCAAGAAGCTGCCCAGTGTATGGGACATGGAAACTGATATCGTTCTGTGATTAAATGGAAGATCCAAGTGCTACATGTGGTTTCTGGTCCTTGTCAATATATACAACATTTTTCATTAGTGATTTGTGGATCTTCAGACATGTCCTAATACAGAGGTGGCCAACCTGCAGCACAGGTGCCACAAGTTTCTTAGTAACCCAGCAGATTGGGAAGGGGACTAGAAAGCAAAGCACACAGGGAGCATCAGGGCTGAGAGCAAAAAGCAGAGCAGCAGATCAGGCAGGGGAAAGGGATGGGAGTGGCCCTTAGGGAGGGTGCAGGGGTAATTTGTGGCATGCCTGCTAGAAAGGTTGCCCTTCACTATCTTAAAGCATGACTGTTAATTGCTTATTAAAATGCCATCCACATCTTAATAAAGCACAGATTATTACTTGAAAGGTTTCTAATCTTTTTCTGGTTATTTTTGTGTTGTTTTATTCCATAGTGATACATCCAGGAAGCAATGCAGCTGTTCCAATGAACATTCCAGACTTGATGATGTCATATTGAGATGGTCCTATCGGGTACGGCTAATCTCATATTTTGTTTTTGTCCTAGGGCAATAAGGGTAGTGCTGTACTTATGTGCACAGTTAAGCATGGGTAAGGTGCTAGCTATCTAATACAAATAACTGTCTTACCCAAGATCACAGCTTCTCTACATTTATCCTGGCATCAGGAACACATGAGATTAAATCCACTGTGTAATTTAGCACTCTCAGCACCTGCTGTAGATGTTCACAATGGTATTGCTCTTAGCAACACAGGGTTTGCCACTTCTAGTCAGAGCACTGTTTGGTCTACTCCAGTATTCTGCCTCTGGTACTAACTAATGCTGGAGGAGTTAGGAGAAGGCAGAAATTAGCCAAACTGTAAGTGTCCCGTTGTGCTGTGATTCCTTCCCGAAGCTACAAAGCACCAATTTGCATCCTTAAGTGTGAGGTTTGATTACATTGCCTCACTGTTACTCCTTCTGAGAATATGGTGTTAATTGAATGCAGTTCTCTAATAGCCACAGGGACATTAGGAATTATTGCAGAAAATGGCTTCATTAAATTACTACTTTTGTCTTTGTTTATGGAATTTGATTATGGTGGTATACTAGGGGTGAGGATGAGCATGAGCTTAAATTCATCCAAGCTGTAGATAAACTGGACATATATTATGCTCTCTGTGTGACCGAGTCAATCTCATTAAATGAGTATCTATCATTCAGGATGCCTGGGAAAAGCTGCTGGAGTCAAGGAGATATGATGTGAGGGATGATTTCACTGTTGTTCTTCAGCCCTTCCTGCAAGACATAAATCTGCCGTTTAGAACAGTGAGTGAACATCAAGCTTTCCATGATTTCTGGATTACTCTTGGTGACACAAAGTGCAATGTTCAGCTGGTTCTTTTCTCTTCTGAGCTGCTTAGCTCCTCTTCAAGTCAATAGGAGTCAGGCATGCCTCTGAATCAGTTGCTAAGGGCCAGATGGTTAATCTCCCTTAAAACAGTTGTTCCTCTGCAGTAACCCTGCTCTGCTCAGTGGTGGGTGATATTACTGTAAGTGAGGCAAAAGTTGGCTCAGAATGGCCCTACAGATGTGGTTGTCCAGAGGTGCTGGGCACCACTGCTCCTATGGAGGGAGGCAAGTCATGGCATTTTTGCAAATTAGGCCATAGGCATCTGAAAACAGGGCAGGTGGCTTGGCATATACTTGTTTTGCATTTATGTGCTGACATCCCTTGCTGATCCCTGATTGCGCCCATGAGTGTTGCTAATTAGAACTAAGGGGGGAAATATGATTAATTTTTTTTTTTAAATGGGGCACAGAGATATAGAATGGGCAGTAAGTGTTGAAATTTTAAAAATAGGGTTGGGAGGCAGAATTATGAGATGAATACAGTCTGGGTCCCTCAGAACAAATATTGTCTTGATGTTTTAATCCCACAGAGCCACTGGGATAAATAAATATAGGTTTTAGATCCATGAGCATACAAAGTGTATGAGTAGAATTTAACCCTTTGTGATTGTCAAGTAAGCTTTAGAAGGGCTAGAAGGCTCAGTGGGAAAGGTAATAGGAAATGACAATGTTACTTCCTAGATAACTGGTCTGAAAATAACTCAGATCAAGTGCACAAAATCTATTAACACCTCATTTTTGTTTGTTGGCTACTGTAAAATGAGTTGATGGGTCTTAGTAGTTTAGGGTATCACCAAGCTTCCAAAACAAGCGCTACCTTCATTGTTACTGTGTGAGCACAGCTAGCAAAAATTGAACAGAATCGAGAAAAAGAAATTGTCCTATATCCCATGTCAGCGCTAATGTGTGTTAGTAGAGGGGCCCCCTTCCACTGCTGTGGCATATGATATGCTCATTTTGTTGATAAATAATTTATATATGTTGTGAATTTCAGTTTTCAGGACTGTCAGGCCTGGTTTTTCATTCATGTTAAAATAACTATTTCTGGTTGTCCACATAAAACTGTCTTGTGCTTGGATGGTTCTTGGAAACAACAGAGCTGTTAAGAGTGACTTGCAGGGTGAATGCTACTAAGCTCTTTCATGTGCTGTCATTTTTATTTAAAAAGTGTGTATTCTATGAACTTCCAAACAGGTATGATCAAGTTCTTCAAGCCAGCATTTTTCAAATGCTTTTAAATGGCAGCTAAAGCAAGGCATCCTTATTCCTAATGGGGTTTTTAATCCCATCTGTTATATTCCTCTTCAGCCTTCTCCTGTAACGGTTGTTGTTACTGATCTCCATGCCATGTAATGGAAATGTTGCATCTTCACTGTTGCCCCACAGAACATGCTACAGCAGTCACTTCTCTATGTGGTACCTAAGTGGAGGCCATTCATGAGTGGGTTTATGGGTTACTTGTGCAGATCAGTTTACAAATGGGTCTTTCCAGCGCTGACTAGCTCTTCTGAAAAGCACTTGTTCATGGGCTTATGCATAAATGACACAAGACCATTCCACACTGTTGTGCTCTAAAATGCTTTCTCTTCCAGGGCAGACAAGTTATGGGCAGTTCCATATCCAAGACGCAGGTGGAACTCACTGAAGGGGAACATGCTGCCTTGGGTGTGATCCTCTGGAACAACATGGTGAGATGGACTAGAGGTGTTATGCTGAGCAGACTGAACACAAATGCCTGGCACATCCAAGCAAGATAGTCCTTTAGTAGACTGGGTTCTCTTATTAGCTGTCCTATCAAGAAATGAAAGGAGCAAGGAGTAGGGAAAAAAGTTTCATAGCTTGCCTCTTCAGACAGATAGGGAGACATCTGTGTACACTTAAAAGAGCATTGTACAGCCCTGAATTATGCCTCTTTATGATCTCAGAGTTATGGACACTGTAGTAGGTCCCCAGATGGTCTCTATTCAACAACAGCATCTCCCAAACAAAGAGCAGGGAAAAAACATCTTATGAATCAGAAAATGAAGCTAAGCTCTTTTTCCTTTAGTCAGGCTTGCTCCTCTTGCAGGGTGACAGCTCAACAATACAGAACAACCCTCAGGCAAACTCATCAGGATCTTGGCCATATCCTAAACTGAGGTTATAACACTTATAGTACAGGGCTTTGTTGGGTAAGCAGCAAACCATGAGTAATACTGCTGGTAACTACTACATTATTACGCTAGCTTATTTTCACTGAATTGCTCCTATTATGATTGTGTCAGGTCAGGTTCACCTGCTACCATAATTTACAGTAGATGTCAACACTGTGACTGTGAACACTGAGTGCTGGGTGGCAGTTAAATAACCTGGTAACCTCTAGGGTACCAATGGCTTCAGGCAGAAGCAGGTACTAATCTTACCTGTGATGGAGGAGATGCCACCAAAAAGTTGTGGAAAGTCTACTCCATGACAGGGTAGACTGGGCTCTTTAATCCTGGATGGTAGCCAGTTTAGGAGTGGAGCCCTGCTAGACCAGTGGTTTTCAACCTTTTTTTCATTTGTGGACCCCTCAAAATTTTTTAATGGAAATTTCAGATGGAGGTGCAGACACCTTTTAATTGTAAATATGGGTATTCACTAGGGATGTGGAAAGCTTTGGGTGGTGATTTGATTCGGAGGAAATTCGGCTTGATTCGGTGGCCAAATCTCCGAATCCGAATCAAGTCAGGGGACCAATATAAAGGTCTGAATCGATTCAAAGCTCTCCTAAACTTCGGCAAAGATATGGAGAGCTTTGATGATTCAGGCAGTCCCCAGTGGTTGCATCAGGGAGCTGCAGCCACTCCGAGCTGGTAAGTACTAGGGGCGGGGGAGGGAGAGCCTGGGGGAGGGGACCATGGGGGACCCCTGCCATCCCCCGCTGCTTCCCCCTCCTGTCCCAGCTCAGTACTTTAAAAAAACCCCAACAAACAGGTACTCACTGGGTGCTGCTGGGTGGGGGGGGCGATCCCCGCTGCCCTCCACTGCCCTGCACTGCATGGGGAGGCTCTGCACTGGGCCACCTCCGGAGGGGGTTGGGGGCTTGTGCAGAGCCCCCAATGCAGCTGGGGCAGTGGGGGGCAGTGGGGATTGCCCCACGCCTGGCAGCACCTGCTGATCCGGGTCTTTTTTTTCTCTGAAGTGCTGGGAGCTGGGGCAGCCATTGCTGGGCTGGGAGAGGGGCGGGGGATGGGCCTGGCCTGGCTGATTCAGAGGTTCGGGTGGCGCTGGAAGTTCTTCGGAGATTTGGTAGCAGCCAAATCTCCAAATCAGCTTCGGCCAAATCGAATCAGGACAGTGATTCGAATCACCAAATCGAATCACTGCCCCCCAAATCAGCTGAATCCGCTTCTGAAGCAAATACTAGCCATTTCGCACAGGCCTATTCACATACTTTGGATTGATCCTGGTCATCTTTTGCAGACCCTAGGTTGAAAACCACTGTGCTAGATGGACAAATGGATGTTCCTCTTTGTTGTGGGTGTTCCTGCAGCCAAGCTCTTACCAAATGTACTGGCAACTGCCTTTCCCTTGGGTTAAACAAGCAGTGTCTCTCCTCTCCCCCTCCCCCCAGGTATATGGGGGATGAACAGGGTGGAGGTCCTCCATTTCTGTATCAGAAGCTGTGCCATAGATCTAGGACAGAATCCTCCTTCCCATCTGAGTAGGGCTGAAAATGGCATCCCCTGGGACTGATACTTCAAAATATGAACTGTCCTACTTGCAGGACAAAAGACAAGTTTTTAAAAAGGCGGCCTTTTTCTCTGCTGCCCACACATTTGTGTGAACACGCATGGCCAGCTCAAGGTACTTGTACCTCTTAATATCAGATAGTAGGTTCAAAACCATGAGCTGGGGGGGTCAAAGCACTCCAATTTGCAGCTGCAGTTAAATTTGTTGTAAAAATGCAGGCATAATTTTTGCTCTTGTCCAGAGAGATGCTAATGGGAAGTCAGTACATTGTGTGTGCAATACCAGGGGGGATGGGACATGCTCTGTTATCAGACTTTCAGATTCAGAAATTTATCTTTTTTCTTTTTGAATTTAGAAATCTACACCTTCCCACTGATTTTATTGTTTTTGTTTCATTGGCAGCTACATTTCAAAACATGGTTAAAGAAAAGCAATTAATTAAAAAAAAAAAAAAGTGAAGCGATCTTAAAGAAAAAAAAGCAGTTTTGTTCTTGTTTGAGGCAAATATTTACAGCTGCTTTCCCTTTATCAAGGCACTTGTCCTTTACCTTTCAGAGCAGACAAAAAAGTTAACACACTGAAAAAAAATCTATGCCAGGCAGCACTCTAATGAAAAATGATAATAAAAATATCCACACACGTTTTTATTCTTGGTAACCAGAAGGTTACAAAACTGATCCTCAATCCAAACTGTAACCTTGGGACAAAAGAGCTGAATCCAGTTATTTTGATCTTACTCTCTGTTATCAATGTACACTCCTAAAGATAATGTCAAAGTTCATGTCTGGGTTCTCCTTTTACAGGCATGGCAGATGCCGTGATAAGATACATTTGTTCCTTAGTCATTGCTTTCAGCTCTGTGACCCTATATGATGTAGGGACTAAGAACCAGGGGCTCTTGAACTCTAGTATAAGCTTCCCCTTTCTTTGAGCTCTCTGCAAAATCTGCAAGTCACTTAAGTTGCCTGTGCCTCCATTTCCCGCTCTAGAAATCAGGGTGATAATTTCTGGTTTGCAAAACTGTTACCACTGTCAATAAATGATTTGTAAAATATTTCGAAGGAAGGTAGGTAGGCAACGTTTTTTGGCCGGAGTGCTGAAAACCCCATGATGCCTACCTTGGAAGGTGCCTGAGTGCCAGCATGCCTGAGTGCCGGCATGCCAAAAAAACAAAATGAGGGCAGGGGGTATATGGCAGGATGCCCTGCCCCCTACCCCTGCTGCCCCTTGCCCCTCACCCAAAGCCCCTGCCCCTCAGCCCGGGCTCCGTGGCTGTCAGCAGCTCCCCAGAACCTGGGCCAGCTGCAAACATCTGGTGCCTCTCCACCCTGGCCCCAGCCCCAGCCCCAGCCGCCTCCTAGCCCCAGATCCAGGCTCGGGCTCCAGTGAGGCAACACAGACTGGCAGTGCTCTCTGCTGTGCTGCCCTCACCGTTGCTGCAAAGCTGCGTTGGAACCTGGCGCGGCAGGGCACAGCAGGGGCCGCAGAAAGCTGCCTGCTCCCAGCTCCCCGCTGCCCTGTCACACTTCCCCTGCAGGTGGGGGCAGCAGCGAGGGGCACAACCCTGCGCTGCTGCCCATGCTGCTCCCGTGCACACAGGGGAAGTGCGGCAGGGCAGCGGGGAGGTGGGGGCAGGCAGCTTTCTGCAGGCCTCGCC